TTCTAGGGCCTCCGAATTACCCCTCAACTTCCACCTATGATTCCCGGTACATGCAAAATCAACATCCGTTGATCTACAAATCGACAGCTGCGAATGCAAACCCGCGTTGTGTCCCTTCCTGCTCAGTCTTGAGCAAGACACTTCACACTGATGAGCTCTGGTTTCCCCATTGGCAAAATGAGGAATCCCTTCTTACGCATGATATGAGAACGTATGGAGTAATAACTGCAGTAAGACGAACAAGAACAGTACTGCAAAGGGCAAAGGTTATTCGAGACCTTGGCAGATAGTTGCGCCATCATGTTCTTACAGGCCCTCGGTCAGATTAAAAGGAACCTGCGCTCCATTCACCAAACGAACACCCAAAAGAGTAACTGGTATGTCCGTGCCCTGAAGAGGTACCAGCCTCCAAGGATAAACTCCTACGGGCTTGATGCGGGTGCTCAGCACCTCTACAAAGTCAGGCCCCGAGAGGGATATGTGGAGTGAGGGTGGGAGATCTAGGAAGAGAGACCCAGACACTGGTCTTGGTTAAAACAATCCCAGCTCAGTCGGCAGGGTTTCTTCTTGAGTGATCAGAGCAGCTTGGAGGCAACTGCAAACTTACTTCCGGACTTTCATGGCCTCCTCATTGTCGGGGCGGAAGAAGTCATAGGAGCTGTAATGCTTCACGGCTTCTCGGCGATACTCTCCCACGTTGAAGACTGAAACGGAGCAGTGAAAGAGGGGTCAGTCAGCATGACGGTGCACAGGTACACGGCTCAGCGAGCTTCACTGGCAGGGGGAGGTATGCAATGGGGTGTGTGCAGAACCCATCCAGGGACTGACTTGGGCAGAGACAGCATCTCCGAGAGACTCCAGTCATAAAGAAGAGACGCGCTGTTGGGTTCAGCAGCCAGTGGTTCCCCTGAAAGCAGGTTAGGTGACCGTGGTCTCCTCGAGGAGGACGCATAATCACTCATAGGTGGAAGGGTCAGGAGGTATGCAAATGGTGCAGGCTACCCCGCCACCGCAGTTCGGTCAAGAACCGCATCTTCTCCAGAGAGCTGGGTGCAAGAGACACCACAAGCCAGAAAGCCCTGGGGCATTTAGCTCCACACATGCATTTTGCAGGCCATGAGCCTTTCGGGCAGGAACAGTCAGCCTTGGCCTCACCTTTTGTTGGGACACCGATCCAATTGAGGTAGCGTGTCAGCTTCTTCGAGATGTAAGTCTTCCCACGAGCAGGAAGGCCAACCATAACGATCACGGTGGGGGAATTCGTTAGCTGCGGCCCACATGCTACAAAGAGGAAAGAGGGGAAAAAAATGAATCGTAAAATAAACCCATTGATCCCTGAGCTTGTTTTGCTTTGGGTGTGCAAGGGTTCATAAACCAAGTGTGCAATGTTCCCTTGGTCCTTCAGCAGGAGGGGGAAACTGAATGCCTCCTTTCCGGATGCCCCATCTTCCCCTGGCTCCCCTGCTCGGCTCAGACAACTGGCATTAGTCATGAAAGCCTCCAGCTGCAAGTCTGTTGATTCACTTTTTGCAACACGAGCTGCTGAATGAACGCGTCCAAGAGCAGGGGCCACATACACTGGCCGAAGGAAATCAAGCTAGGCCCACCTATGCATCGCCTCCACTACCTGCGAGTGCTGAGAAGTGGCTGATCATCCATGTGCTCCCCTTCCCCTAGGCACAGACATGCAGGGCAGGGAGCAGGTAAGACCGTGCAAGATTAGGAGTTGGGGTCCTACTGCCTGCTGTGCCCCAAACTCCTTCTGACCTCGGGCAAGCTACTGCCCCTCGGTGCCTCAGTTTCCTCAATCGCAGGGGAGGTTATATTATCCCCATCCCAAACATGCCCCAGGGCTAATTCAATAACGAGCCAGAGAAGGGGAAATTACTAGGATCGGGTTCTGACGTGCGGGTTGCTGGAAACGTCAAAGACGCGTTTCAAGGAATTTAACATCTTTCCTCAGGTCTCTGGACGGTGAACGGGCCTCCCTGCCCCCACACAACCTTTTGGTAACCCAGCTCATCTTAAATACAAGACAGCGATTCACAGAGATTCAAAAAGGTACCGGCAGAAATGAGACCACGTGGCACCGTCTCCGATTCTCAGACTGAGTGATCGGGACTGAGAGGTGCCCAAGCAGAGCTGTCGGCTGCTGCCAGTGCCAAGATGGCACAGCGCATACCCAAGGGCATTTGGGCTTGCCTTGGAGAATCAGCCAGCAGTCAGCTGATGCCGAGCTAAACCTCGCCTGCCCTGCTGGGGTACGTGACTTGGCTCATTCGTCCTCAGCTCCCATCCAACTCCCATGTTCTTCTCACAACCGGGTGCTGGGGAGCAGGGCACCTAGGTTAGCCTGGTGACACCAGGAGGGCAATCCTTAGTGCCTCAGCATGAAACAACAAGTGCTTAGTAATGCAAGGCAAAGTGGCAACACAAGTTAGAGCCAGGCACGGAGCACCGTCCTCACTCCCCCTCCTGCCACTCCGCAAGTGCATCTCCACCCAGACCTGCAGCACCTCCCTGCTAGCTGCAGCCCTGTTTGTCTGCACTCAAGAGTCACAAATAGGATGCTGATTTGGTGGGAGAGGGGGGAGGACAAAGTGGGACAGCTATGTCTGAGATGTACAGGTGCATGCGTGTGCTTAGATGCATGCATGTGTGCATATGTTGAGGCATCTGTGCGTATATGAATGTATGTGAGCTTAGATGCATGTGCGCGCATATGGATGCATGTACGCGTGCTTAGATGCAGGCGTGTAGACATTTTCAAAACCCTGAAAAAGGCCCTTCCCAAAGAGCTCTGCAAGAAGGAGTTAGCCGCTTTCCATCAAGGACTCTCACAGAAATGCCACTGAGCTTTGAAAAGGGACAGAAATAAGGCCACCCCCTTCCAGTGCGGGTGAGGTTGCTTAAAAATGGATATTAAAGGGTGATGACGGTCCCTTCCTCTTCCACTAACCACACACAAGGCATCTATTGTGGAGCCAGTCATTTTTAGAGTATCCGGTGTCAAGGGACTGATCCTCAATTCTTACATTAGAGTGCAGCCGGGTACAAGGACAGGTTAACTGTTTAAATGCCAGTCCCTATTTCATTCAACCCAATTACATCGCCAATGAGTAGTGAAGAAAGAGTCACCCACCCTGGGTAAAAAGTGTCTTGACGCCCACCTGGCTGGGGTCATCTGATCCCAGCAGTCTTTCCTGCCCCAGGGCAGGGGGGCTGGACTCGATGATTTTGCAAGGTCCCTTCCAGCCCCTCACATCTATGAATGGGGTCCCAGTTCTTCGCCCTCTCCACCTCTGCCCCAGGCATGTCTCGAAGGCAAAGAAGATGTGGTCCAATCGGGAATCTAAATGAGCTGGAAAGTTTCTAGGCTACTATGCTGCTTATGGCCATAGCTGCATGTGCTTCTGTTTATACTGCCCTCCGCACCATGGCATCGCTGCCTTTGCCACGATAGCCACGCTGGCCCAGCTCTGTTGGAAGATGCCGTGTGTCAGCAGTAGGAGATTTTTTTTTCTGCTTGCTTAGCTAGACCACCACACACGACGACAGACAAAAGCTCTCTTCCGTCAGCATCGCTGTGGCCACGCAAGGGGTTTTGCCGACATAGCGATGTGGGCTGGACACCCCTCCGACAGACACAGCTATGCCAGCAATGATTTGTAGTGACCCAAATGGTGGCTTCCAACATGCCCAACCTCTTAGCCTTCACATCAAGCATAAAACCAGCCTTAAAAATACTGGTGTTCTGTATTATCTATATAGGCAACTTATTGACCGATCTCTTTTATAAACGAGCTCTTTAAGGATATTCCCTCTCTACCCTGAGTCCCCCCACACTTCAAGGATCAGTCCAATTCCCATCAACTTCGGTGGTATTTGGGACCAGGCACTTATTCCACAATGGCTGATGCTACGTGGTCTCTGGATGGCTTAAGAATAAATAATTTTTCAGTATCACACCAACTTTCTTCTCCTTTGTGTAACACAATGCAGGGCAAAAGTCATGGGTATAGAAAGGAGAAGAAAATATCAGCAGCAGATGGAAACAATCCAAACAAAGGATAAAGCAAGGAAGGATAATGAACGGGAGAATCCACTCAGCCTTGCTCTCCTGAATCCCCACATCTGCAGCCGCTCGCCTTTAATGCTTCCCTGTGGATCACAAAGTCGCCACGTTACTAAGCAAGGATGGCTCATCTCTGGGATCGCTCATCTTGGAGCGTGATGCAGCATTTCGGGAGTTCCCCGCCTTTTGCTCACATCAGCACCGCAGACTTCTAACCCCCAGCCCGGGAGGGTCAGAGGTGAAGGGAAGAAACTTAATTTGCTCCCTTCCCCCACGGCAGACAAAGGGTCCCATGCACTGGGCCAGGAAGGATCTGCCAAGAGCGCTCCACATTCAGGAATAAATAGATGCCTCAAAGGGGAAGAGCATCCGAGGGCTTGCTCTAAATACTCCCTTCTCCTTACGCTCCACTCAGTTCATTCAAGCAGGCTCTACGAGCGCCTGCTCACACAAAGCCGTACATCCATGGGGTCCCATCCTGAGAGGGTACTGGGCCAGCAAGCAGCTCCCTCTGACTTGGGCACCTGGGTCTTTTCATCGGCTGGCCTCAGTAGGGGGTAGGGACCTGTTTAACAATGCACACCACAACTTCAGGGCTGATCACGAGGGCTCCCGAAAGAGAAGCCCCGGCAAAGACCCAGTCACCCTGTTCACCGAGACCCTGAAGCCAACGCGCCGTCCCCAAAGAGCAAACCAGGAAAGCTGCCGCTATAAAATAAGACAATGGAGCGCAGCGTAACCAAGGCACGTGCTGCCTTTAGAAGATGCAGCCAGCATCATTGGCAGCAATTTATTACAGATGCCTCCTAATAGGCAGAAGCCAGTCTAAGCATGTTGCGATGCGCTGCGGTATCCACTGCGGGG